GCATGGTCTCTTGTAATGGATTTCTTTTACTTAGCATAGTGTACTGAAGGCTCCTTCCCATTGTAGCAGGCCTCAGGACTTCATTACTTCTCTGCTGAATAGTATGCCATTGTCTGGACATACACCATGCTATCCCCCCACTCCTCACTTGATGGATGTTTCAGCTTTTTGGTTGTTATGGAGAACGCTGCACTTAAAAAAATGTGGACAGGTTTTTATTTTTCTTGACTATAAACCCCAGGAGTAGAATGACTTAAGTCACATGGGACTCTATGTTTAGCATCTCTAAGAACCACCAGCCCTATTTCTGAAGTGGCCACACCATTCATGTTCCTACCAGTGGTTCATGAGGATTTGGATTTCTCCACAGCCTCGCCAGCTTGTCATTATCCAGTGCTGTGATCACATTCACTCTTGTGTCTGTTTATCCCTCAGGTATTTATGGAACGTGGGCACTGAGCAGGACAGAATGCTCCCTGCAAAGTGGGAGGAGAACCGATCCCTTGAGGAGTTGTTTTGAAGATTCAATAGCACAATGTGTAAAGTACCCCCTGGGCCTGGCATGTAGGGGGTGCTAAGCGATTGGATGTACATTGTCAAGGAGAATCGGGTTGGTGGCAGGACTCATGGGCCTCCCTGAGAGCAGAGGAAAAGAGACAGGAGCCTGTGTGAGAAGTGGTGCTCTGGTCCTCATGACCTGTGGCCTATGTCAGTGTCCCGTTTACAGATGGGGGAACTGGCAAGAGCCTTGTTTGGGTCATGTCACTGAATCCTCCCAGAGTTTCAAGGTCTGCTCTTACGTCCGCGTAGCAGGTCAGAGAGGCTGACTTCCTTGCCCAGAGTTTCACAGCTGCTGAAAGCTGGTTTTGGGATTTGGACTCAAGGAGTTTATTTTCAGAGGGCATGTTCAGTGTGAGCCTCTTCAGTCTCCCAGGACTCAGCAGTTGCCCCAAGGGGCCTTGCCAGCCCTCCCCTCAGTCTTATGGTCTGATCGTTGCTGTGTGCCTCTCTTTACCCTGTGGGCAATGGTGCTGGTGACCCAAGGCCTCCATGGTACGGGCTGTCTGAGTATGGCTTGTTCTGTCCCTTGGAGTGGAACAGCCTAGAAGCCAGTGGGGCAGCTCTGGGCTGTGGGTGGGAGGTGTCTCTGCTGTGTGTTATAAATAACTCAGGCAACAGGAGGGCGAGGGAAGCCATAGCCCAGCTTCTCAGAGCTCAACCTAGATGCATGTTCACTGAGCGTGTGTCCTGCTTGTGCCTGGGGACCATGTAGGAGTGGGGCAGTCTCCGGGGATGGCTGGCAGGGCTCGGCCTCCCTCCGCTGGCCTCAGCAGGAGCTGTGCCATTTCCTGGAGGAGGCTGCCTCAGCCTGTGGAGATCTAGGGCTGATGAGGCTCCTGGAGCCCCTCACCAGGCTACATGGGGTCCCTGAGGTCAGAAGAGGGCCCCTCAGCTCTGAGAGCTGGTCCTGGGGGTGTTGGACCAGATGTGGCAGTGGGGTCTCTTTCTGCACTCCTACCCTATCCCCACCACTGGCTCCCATGCCCACCTGCCTTGTACCCCCTCTTCTTAGCTCCCACCCTGACGTCCACCGTGGTGCACTGACCTCTTGCAAACCTAGGAGTAAGGAGCCCATTTCACCTGGTCCTGAGAGGATGACCAGGAGCAGTGTCAGCACGGGACCTAGTGCTCAGTGGGTGTCTGTAGATGCTAGCTGCTCCCAGCACAAGGCTGCTTGAAAAGTGGCCAGAATTGCAGGGTCCCCTGGGAGCCCTCGTATCTGCATGCTTTTACGTATATATAATTTGCGTAGATATTTAATGACAAAATATGCTGGCACCTGTCTCAGTTTCGCCTCTCCTCCCCAGTTCCCTCGGTGTCCCCCTGGCTAGGTTTTGGAGGGGTTGGAGGGAACCTAGTCTGTCCCCTGGTTTTATGCAAGGGGAGACTGAAGCAAAGAGCAGGAAAGGGCCTGGCCGGGCTCCCACTGTGGGGAGAGGTGGGCGATGTGGTCAGCGGTGACTTTACCCCAGGGCTGACTGGAAAGACAGTGACAGAGGATGACTCTCCTGGGTCCTGGGGCAGAGAAATGACCACACAGACCTGGTCACTGCCCTCAGGCGCTGGTGAGGGGGGACAGACATCAAACAGGGAAACAAAGACATTAATTTCAGGCAGTGGAGAGCTGTGAGGGGCAGCCCTCACAGGGGTTCTGACAACAGGTGGAGTGTGTTGGGGGATGCTTGGGTTCTGGTGATCAGGGAGGTGAGCTTGGAGTGGGGACACTGCTAAGTGCCCATTAGCCACTCGGTATATTGTGGCTGGTATCTGGATGTCTTCGGGGTCATCAGTCCCATTTTGTAGAAGGGCAGACTGAGGCCCAGTGGGGTGGAGGGACTGGCCCAGGCACCGGTTAGGGAGCGGGAAGCTGAGGTCCACTGGTTATGCCATCGAGCCTCAGAACTGCAGGAGCAGCAGCTCTCGTTAGTTTGTTGGCAAGGATGGTGGGGAGCCTGGAGACTCAGTCCGAGAGACACCTGCTGGTGAGTCACTGGGGTGCTGGGTGGGTCTGCTCACCTGCTCTGGGCCACCTGTCAGGTCAGCATGCCATACCAGTCACTTGTCCTCCTGTCTGTGCAAGGTGCTGGGGAGGGCAGATTGGCCCAGGCTCCCTCCAGAAAAATGGCCAGAGTGACAAATTGTGTCACAGACTGGGATCCCCACCTGCACCTTCAGAGGTTCAGGAGTTGGGACTTGACAGCTTCACTGGTGGCATGAATGTCAGTCTCTCGTGTACGTGAGGCCAGTGGTACGCACTTCCTGGGTGGCTCAGGGGCTCAGTGGATCTGGTGGGAGGCACCTGTGGGAGCCCTGGGAGCATGGCTGATGGGCTGCCTCGGCAGGCAACAATACAGGGGAGCTAGAGTCCCCAGGCAAGGATGCCCTCATCTGGGTCGGGGACGTGGAGGGCTGTGGATGTGACGTAGGCAGGCCCACAGAGGGGTTGAGGGAGTCATGGGGGTGCATCTGTCTTGTGGGTGTAGGTCTCCAAGTGCTGGCAGGGTGTTTGGCACACAGCTGGTGCCCATAAGTGGCAGCTGTGCTGATGAACAGTCACATGGGTGCTGGCGGGGCAGGGTGTCTTTGAAGGAGCTCAGGTTCCCAGAACCTTCCTATGGAGGAGCGAGGAGGAGCAAGTCTGGAAAGGAGACCTGCATGGGGGGATCCTGCTCTCAGCACAAGCCTGGGGACAGGAATCAGTAGGCGGTGTCAGTGGCCTAGAGGTTGATGTGAGACGGCAAGTGGCTGGGACAGGTGGAGCAGTGACAGAGGTCCTGGTGTGGAGTGAGGAGGGTTCTGGTCTTCCCAGGGCCCAGGTGACATCCTCTGTCCCAGTGGGCGAGGACTTGTCTGTCAGGTGTAGCCAGGAACTGGGCTCTTGCCCTGGGCGCTCTCCCAGGTGGACACCAGACAGGCCAATGCCAGGGGAGGGAGTGGGCCTGCCAGCCAGCCAGCCTGCCTGCGGGGAGACGGCCTGCCAGCTCCTTGGAGGCACTGTGTCCTTTCATCCCTGCTCCCTGCTCTGCGGTCACTCTGGAGGGGTCCAGCCTGGTGGAGAGTGGCAGACAAGCGTGCTGTTTCTAACCCCCAAAATGCTGCGATTCTGGAAAAAATTGGAAGCTTCAGATACCGCCCTGTGACCTCCTCACCTGGAGACACTCCTGGAACCTTCCAAATTCAGGGTCTGGAAAGTCACTAAACTCTAGTAGTGAGTTTATTAAAACAGAAGCAGGTTCCAAGTGCATTTTGTAACCTACTTTTTAAACTTAACGGTGATAACAGCATTAACAGCCAGCACTCAAGTGTGGGCATGCCAGCCTCATCCAGAGCAGCTTGCCAGGCGGTTATCATTACCTTTGTTTAACAGGCACAGCAGGCTGGGAGACTAGATGCCTGTCCAGGGCCATGGGCACTGAGGGATGGAGCGTCTGGCAATCCTTCCAGCAGCCCAGCTGTACTGCTTTCCCCGTATTCTTAATTATTCTTTGGAGCAAGTTAAAAAAAAAAAAAGCCTTCTGTGATGCATTCAGAGTTTTTAGGGGCCCAATTAGTGTGGATTTGTGTAAACACATTTGTTGACAACTGCATACTATCCTGCATTGAGGTTGTGCCCTCACTTATTTAACTAGTCCTCTGTTGTGGGCCGTAGGTTGTTCCCCCTTTTCCTCCTTATAAGTAACATTGCCCTGGATCTCCTTGACTCAAGGCCTGACTTCTAGCGAGCACAGCCTGTCAGGATGGCTAGGCCTGAGCTGTCATTTTACAAGTGGGGCAAAGCAAGGAGGCAGGGAGAGACATGTATGCCTCCTGAGCCAGGGTGCCACCTGCTCTCCTGTTGGTCTGGGGCATGGGAGGGGGCTCTGGGAGGATGTTGGGAGCCTAGGTGAGGTGGTGGAGAAAGGCTAGAGCTGACAGGAGAGCCTGGGCGGGGAGGGGATCTGCAGCAGGACCTCCGAGGAGAAGCTGGCTGTGGTGCGATGGCCCAAAGAGGGGTGCCGTCCCCTGAGATGACTTGTGGCTGAAGGAGAGGTGGGGGAAGGCACGGTGGCCAGGCAGGTGTGTGTCTGGGCCTTGCTGGCTGTGGAAGGAGGGCCTCAGCAGGGCTTCTCCACCCCTCCCCTGTCGTCCTGCCCCGCATGGCCAGCAGCAAGTGGGTGTGGGTGGTGCTGGGTTCCCAGCCAGGCCAGCTGTAGCCCAGCAGGGGTGAGGACCGAGGTATCCCCCCCACCAGCCCAGGCCATCTATTGTGCAGCCCCTTGGCCGTCCTGCTGCCCAGGGCCTGGCCCTGACCCACATTCCTGCGGTGACGCTCTGGGTCTCCGGGGTGGAGCTAGTGAGCGTGAGGGGCACTGCGTTCTCACAGGACCGAGGTCCTTTTGGGGACGGAGACTGCAGGGGTCCAGAGGGCTTTGCTGAGATCCCTGCTCTACCCACCCTTCTTTCAGGAGCTGGTTATGGTCACGGTGTGTCTTTGGGTGGATTGCTTTACCTCTCTGCATGCTGGTTGGTGGTCTCATTCCCAGCCACTCCTCAGGGGTGGGATAATGCAAGGCTTCCCCATCTTTGTGCCCTAGTTTCCCCATTTGTTGGCAGAAGGGCTTGAACTTAGGGATCTCTCAGGCCTGGTTCAGCTTTAAAATTGTGGCCTGATGTGGGAACTGCGCCATGGGAATACTGTACTGATACTGTACAGATACTGTACAGAGCTCTGGCTGTGACCTGCAGTGAGCACTTTTGGTACATTGTCTTACTCAATTCTCACAGTAGCTCTCTGAAGGCTGAGTTATTTTTGCTCCCCAGTTAAAGAAGCAGGCTTACAGAGGCCAAGCAACTTGCCCAGAGTCACCCAGCAAGTTCGCAGGGCTAGACTTGAACCCAAGACTCTCTGAACCTAAGGCCGCTGCTCACATCACGTCTAGGCACCAGGGGAGTGGCGCCCGAGTCTGGCTAATTAGGGGAAGGAAGCCGGGGTTGAGCTAATTACTCTTGATTGTGCTCTTAGCTTTTGCAGCGAGATTAGTGTGGCTCAGGGTGCTGGGCTCCCGGCCCCCTGCCAGCTGACCTGATTTGTGTGTCTGGGTCTGTCTCTGTGGCTTGCCCTCTCCTGCCTCTCCCATTTGCTCCTTTTCTCTCTCCCCCGGTGTGTGTGGCACAGGCACTGCCACTCAGTTTCTCTGGGCATTAATAGCCTCATCTACATTTACTGTCTCATGAGGAGGTTGAAGCTTAAATGAGATAAGTTTCCAGAGATGGTCATAGAGCTCCGAGCGTGCAACTAAAAATAACCTTGGCTGCATCCCTTTGTGCTGCTTTGGCTTGTTTTAGGGGCCTGTGTTTGTTACCTGTGTGAGCTTAATCCTCACAGCCACCCCTCTTTTATCCTCTCCATTTTACAGAGAAGACAACTGAGGTGTGGAGAGATTAAGTGACTCGCCTGCAGCCAGCAGGCGTAAGAGGAGGAGGTAGATTGAGGGGTCACATCTGTGCCACCCCGTCTATTGGACAGGGGAAGGCCATGGGGGCTGGGCACGAAAGACCTAGCCTTCATCAGGTTTGGAGGGGCTGGGGCTGAGGGAGGTGGCCCGGCTCCCCTGAGCATGTCCTCTGCCCTCAGAGTGGATGGTGAGTGTGGAAGGGCATGGACTTGTCTGACTTTTAGCTGAATTCGGACGTTCCTCACGCCAGCCCTGGCTGTGGTCCACAGAGAGAGGGCAGCCCAGAGGGGACCAGTCAGCTCCCCAGAGGCTCTGAAACTGAAGAGAGTAAGGTGTGTGGGGGTGGTAAGCAGGGGACCTGCTGGTCACTGCTGGGATGGCTGTCCTGGGCTGGAATCCTGAGGGGTTCTCTGGGATGAGGCTGCCAGTCAGTCCTGCTGGGGTGACAGGCTGGGAGGAGAGTGGCAGTGGTGTCAGTCTGTTGGGCAGGATGCCATATCTACCCGGCAGTGTGCCTGTGTACTTGTGTATTCCCAGGACTGTCAGTGTGTATGTGTGAGGGGCCTGGAGGTGGGCACAGGTGTGTGTACCTGGTAGGGTGAGGTCTGTTCAGGGATGTGGCCACCAAGCCAGGTGGCAGCAGGTTGGGGGCTGGGAGCTCACGATGTGTGCTGGGAGCTGGGAGGTAGTTTGGACATTGGGTGGTATGGATGGCTGTGAGGGAGTGGAGCTCTGGTCACAGGTGTAGGAATCCTGGCTCAGGAGGAGCGGTGGGTTTGGGTAGCCTCAGAGTATTTGGGGCAAGGGTGTCAGAGACCAAGGACTGGTGTTCATACCTCAACCCTGACCCAGCCTCAGCATCTGCATCTGTGGGATGGGGATCAAGGAGGCAGCACATGTTGGGTATTCCCAGCACCTGGCAGGCAGGCCCTCTGCTGGAGCCCCCAGACCTCCATGACTCCTCTGGGCCCCAATGTCAGATCCCCAGAAGCCCACCTGGTATCCTCTGCAGGGTGTCTGCCCTGGAGTTGGTGGTGGAAGGAAGCAGGAGGTTAGGTACTTCCGGGTGGGCATGTTCTTTGCTTAGGTTTATATGGGGCATCTGTGAGCTGAGGACAGTCCACAAGTGCCCATGGGATGTGTGTGTATGTGCAGCTCAGGGTGTAGCAGACGGGAGGTGTGTGCTGGAGTGCATTGGGCTATATTCCCAATAAGATCTACAGAATGTACAGGTTGGGGTTGGCAAACACTGTTAACTGTGAGGTGTGTGTGTGTGTGCATGCTCATGTGTGTGCCCACGCTGGGAAGGGTGTGTGCCACTCTGCGAGGTGAGGGGGGTGTGAATTTACCTGGAGGGTCACGGTGTGGGTCCAGGAGAAGCCAGCAGGGTCGGGGGCATTTGGATTTAGTTCTGCTTTAAGGGAATAGCATGGATAATTATGTACATTATGTATAAAGTTATGCAAATGTGGAGGTCATATACGGGTTAGAGGCTGTTTGTCACCCTCCTTTCTAAGACGTTCCTTGCTGTCTGCGAAGCCATTTCCATTCCCCTCCCCTTGGCACTCCACAAGAAGCCACCCCCCACAGGCCTTGGCTGTCCTCAGTGTTGAGTCCCCCCAGCCACCCTCCCCACCTCATCTGGGGGCTGTTTATTATTCGGGAAGAATGTTCTTTTGGATGCAGGCTTGGAAAATCACTGAGGTAGCCCTTTCCCTAGCCTTGTCTGATCAGCAAGAGGCTGAATTAAAGATGTGAGGGCTTTCTACCACCTCCTGACTCTTGCCTTCTCGCCTTCCCTCTGCCCCTTCCCTGCCCTGTGCCCCTCTTCCCCTGGCCCCCCTCTGTCCTCTGCCTCTCCATCCCTGTTTCCATTCTCCCCCTCTGTTCCTCCAGGATCTCTCCCTCTCCCCTACCCCCCCATCTCTGTGGGGAGCTGCAGCTCATGGTCCTTACCGTGGAGGAGATGGTCGTCATGGTAACAGTTGTCATGTCGATGGCTACTGAGCTAGGGATGAATAGTATCTAGGTGAGAGCTACCTGAGTGGAGGCTGATGGATTCGCAGGAGGCTTGATGCTTGTCTCTGAGCCTCAGAGCTGCACAGTACACCCCCACCCCGCCACTTCCCTCTCTTGCAGTGCTGTGTGCACCAAAGGCACTCTGACACACTGCCTTGCTGTGGCTGCCTTTAGGTGAGTGTGTTGGGCTTTGTCTCTGTGTTCTCTGTGTCTCTGGGTGTGTCATCTTCAGGGTCTCTGTGCCTTTGGGAGGTAGTAGACTCTTTGGGTTTTCTGCAGATCTTTCCAGAGTCAGGGTGTTGGGGGCTGCTGCATGGCACTAGTCACCATGGAAACTTGACTCTGTTTGGCTCCCACACTTACCCCTGTTTTGGGGTCTCAGGAAACACTGACTTCTCAAAATCCTTCCTCTCCGCTAATGGCCTCCTGGTCATTCCCCAGCTGCCTGAGGAATGGAAAGTGAAGATGGCCTTGCCCATGGGCAGCAGCCCAAGCCCTGTTTCTGCTTTAGTACCCAGGAGGCAGAAAATCCCCGGGGGACTTCAGCTTGTGCTCCTGGGAATTTGTTCCTCTGGGTGCAGATGGGAGCAGCAAACACCTGGACAGTGGCTGCTCTGAACTCCTGGAATGTCTAAAAAGGAGGAATACCCAGCAATTAGTCACGGGAACAATTACGCTAATTGTTCCACTCCATGACTCACTGGTAGAAAGTAAATACTGATTAATTCATTACTTCACAACGTGTGTGTGTGTGTGTGTGTGTGTGTGTGTGTGTGTGTGTGGTGTTGGGGCATCTTCTGGCTCCCTGCCCTGGCTGGGTTGTACAGAGCTTGGAGCAGGTGGTTGAGGCTGGGGGCAGGAAGCCAGCACTGAGATCCTGTCTCTGGCTCTGAGTGAACTCCAGAAGGTGGCCTATTGGTGGCAGGAGTGTGAGAGGCTGTGCATGAAGGGCTGATGCAGCCCCTCTCCTGCTCATATACCTTTCACGGCTTCCACTGCCAGTCAAACATTGCAGATGCTCAGGCACTGAGACCTGCTGGACCCCTGCATTCAGCTCTCACAAAATTCTGATATGCAGCGACCAGTTTCCAAGAGAAAATCTGCAAAACCCTAAAACCCTTCTGTGATTGGGCCCCTGCTCCAGCCTACTCTGCCCTTCCTGGCCTCTAACTTTAACTCCATCCTTAACAAATATGTTCCGAAACTACTCCATGCCAGGCACCTTGCTAGACGTGGACACATGTTGCCTTCGTCAAGGAGCTATTTTGTCCGGGGGTTGGGCACAGACTGTGGACATGTGAACCCCAAGCAAAGCGGCAGTGATGTAAATCAGGACCACCAGGTTCTCTGAAAGTCCAAAGTAGGAGGCTTCTCAGAAGAAGCGAGGTGGGATGGGAGCTAGCTGCACCCAGTTTGAGGATAAAGGGATGGAGACAGGACTGAAGGAGGCATGGAGCAGCATGGGACCAGAGTGCTGGGGGTGACTGGGGGGTGGGCAGGGCCAGTTTCGAGGGCAGTGACTGCACTTCCTTACCTTGGGCTCACTCTTGGCATTTTCTCTTCCTGTTGCTGAAGCTGCCTCTTCCTTCCCATTTCGGTGTTTAAAACTCAAATGCCACATCCATATCATTCATATCCAGGTGCCAGGAGTAACCTGACTTCTCTCTGAGAGCTCTTAGGGTGCAGGACTGTGACTAGAGCTGCAGAGCAGAGCCATGACCCCCTCTGGGGCTCTGCTGTCCTGGCTTGGAGTTCCTTAGCTCTGGCTCCTGCTCTAGTGTTGCCGGGGAGGGCAAGGGGAAAGATTGGACCCAGGAGCAGAGGCCTGGTGAGGTGGGCCCTTGGAGCTACCCCTCACCCAGCCTGGCCTCCTTGCCCCTGGAGGTGGGGGCAGCCTGTGGGCCCTGTGCTTATTCTGGGCTGGGGGGCAGAGAGCTGACCCATAGCTAGGCTGGAGCCTGTTCTGCTTTCCGCCTTCTGCTTCCCCACCAAGGAATTGCCCTCCCTGAGTCCTGAACCTCCCCACAACTGTGTCTACTGGGTACAATAGTAGTAAGTGCCCTGCCTTGGGGAATTTGTGGTACCGCTTAGGGCCCCAAGCAGGGGCTGAATCTCACACATCCCCTGCCTTCCGGTGGCCTGGGCAGCTGCATCTCAGTTCTTTCGTCTGTTCATTGGGCTGATGCCTTTTGTATCCCAATCCTGTCTGGAGGGCTTTGTGGGCTCTTGTCAACGGTGGGCACCTGTATGTGGATGGATGACACTGGCCACATAGAGGGTGACAGCCAACCTGTGCCAAGCGTTCTCTGCACATGGGATACGCCAGTGCTGCCTGTGAATTATCTAGTGTGTTTCACGTGCACAGCTTGACAAGGCGCATGCTCTTATTTTCCAAACGAGTAAACTTAGGCATGAAGGGATGAGATAACTTCCCTCAGGCCCCACATTTAATGAAAGGAACCAGGACTTAGACTTAAAACTGACTGGCCCTAAACAAGGTTCTACCACCATTCAGGGATTCTGAGCGGGGGATGGAGGGGCTGCCAGGGGTTTCTAGTGGTGGCCATCAGGCAGGAGATGGGGCTGCTCCCGTGTTGCCCATGTGGATGTCACTTAGCCCTCCAACACGCCTGCCATCCCTCTGGGTGTGTCCAGGCTGCTGGCCTCCGGACCTGAGGCCTGTGCTTGTCCCGCCTTTCCAGGCTCAGCGCTGGCGCAGTGAGAACTTTGAGAGGCCTGTGGACCTGGAGGGCTCTGGGGATGATGACTCCTTTCCCGATGATGAACTGGATGACCTCTACTCAGGGTCGGGCTCCGGCTGTAAGTACCTCCCTGTGTCCCTGCCTGCCTGTAATGACCAGTGTGCATCGATGCCCCGCCCCTGGGAACTCACTCAGTCCTCCCGTGATACAGAGGTCAGGCTGGGCTCCCAAAGGGCAGAGCATCCTCCCTGGCAGTGAACCAGGCCAGAGGGGCCTTAGTACTGGGGACTCCCAGCTCCCCATGGCCTCTTGTCTCTGAATCTCCATGTTGCTGGGGTCTCTCTGCAGCCCTCTGGCCCGTGTCGGAGACAGAGGCCCCTCAGTGATCCCATTTTGGGTCAGCTGTGTCAGGGCAGGGCTAAGACAGGAATGAAGGATCAGTGGTACCCAGGCCACTGGTGGGTGGCTCTACCCTGGCGAAGGTGTGTCAGGCTGTGGGTCGGATAGAGCAGTGTAAGGTTAGGCAGCTTCATCATGGCCTTGCTGCTGCTGTCTCCATATTCTTCCTTGTAGATGGGGAAAAACACTCATTCCTCTTGGGCACTCAAAGTCAGGGTCTGCAGGGGAAGGAGCTCCAGAAATGGTAGGTGGGTGATCCCGGTAGAGGACAGGATGGTGTCTGCTGATACCTGGGCCACATGCTGTGGAGCCGGCTTCCTCCAGCTCCTCATCTCCCGCTAGCCCACTCCTAGAAGCTTTGTCCACGTTAGTCTTGGTAAAGACCCTTCCCTAATGAGTCTCCCTCCCTCCTCTCCTCTGCCTCTTCAGTCCCCAGAGTTCTGGGCTTCTCTTGGACACTTTCCCAGCCCCTCCTCACTCCTCTCACCTCATTTCCCCCCAAGTTCCTTTGCTTATCCTGGTGGCATTGACTCAGCCAGGTGGCCCATTCTCCCTCTTGCCCTCTGCCCAGGCCTCTGGGAGAGGCCCTCACTGCCTCAGGCTTGCAGTGGGCGTGCACCTGACACTTCCCAAACACCATGCCTCTGCTCCTTTTAACCCAAAGCAAGATCTGCAGCCAGTAGCAACTTCATTGATGCTGCTTGGATTCGAGCTGATAGGACCTCCAGGCTGGGTAGCCTGGATAGACAGGAAGTCTTCCCGGAGAAAGTGTGGTGAGGTGCAGAGGAGCAGGAGAGCATCAGCCAGCTGCAAATCAGGCTGTGTTTTCCTCCTTTCCCTCACGTTTTCCTGGAAACTTGGTGGCGGTTCACCTAGATGACCCCTGCTTACCTGGGATCCTCATCCCCTCACGTTACCCGGCTCCCTAGCTTTCTCCCTCTCCCTACCTCTTCAGACTTCGAGCAGGAGTCGGGCATTGAGACAGCCATGCGGTTCAGCCCGGAAGTGGCCCTGGCCGTGTCTACCACACCTGCAGTGCTGCCCACCACGGACATCCAGCCTGTTGGCACCCCATTTGAAGAGCTTCCCTCTGACCATCCCACCCCAGAGCCGGTCACCAGTCCTCCAGTGGTGACAGAGCTTCCAGAAGAGCCCAGCCAGAGGGCTACCACCGTCTCCACCACCGTGACAACTACTACTGCAACCACGGGGGCCCTGACCATGATGGCCACAGCTCCTGCCACTGTGGCCACTGCTGCCCCCAGCACTCCCGCAGAACCCCCTTCCACGGCCACCACTGCTGTCATAAGGACCACTGGCATACGGAGGCTTCTGCCTCTTCCACTGACCACGGCTGCCACAGCCCAGGCCACCACCCCTGCGGCCCCCTCACCCCCCACCACAGTGGCTGTCTTGGACACGGAGGCCCCAACGCCCAGGCTGGTCAGCACAGCTACCTCCCGGCCAAGGGCCCTTCCCAGACCAGCTACCACCCAAGAGCCTGATGTTCCTGAGAGGAGCACCTTGCCCCTGGGGACCACGGCCCCTGGACCCACAGAAGTGGCTCAGGTGAGGACACTGGGAGAGGACTGGCTACAAGAAAAGGTCAGGGCCTGGGCAGGAGGGTGTAGCTGGACAGGGAGAGGACCGGCAGGTGCTGGAGATGAACCAGGCAGGGTGATGGGGTGGAGGGCCAGGGGTGGGTGCAAGTCACAGGGTGGGGACTGTGCTGGAGCTGGAGGGGCAGAGTGGGTCAGAAAGCCAGGGGTGGGCTCTGATACTGGGCCATGACGCCGATGGGGAGGGGATTGGGTGTGTGGGCATGGGCTGATGGGAACTGGGTGCATGGAGTGCCACTAGGAGGCCCAGAACCGTGTGTTCCGGTGAAGAGCACAGCTTCAGGAGCCAGCAGCTTAAATCCTGCCACCACTTTTCAGCTGTGTGACTTTAGGGTGGTCACTGAACCTTCCCGTACCTCCATTTCCTCACCTGTGAAAAGGAGAAAGTAACAGCAAGTCCATCATTATGAGAATTAAATTTCGTGACATTTCCAAAGTGCTTAGCACAACAGTGCGCAGACTAAAGGCTCAGCCACAGTCATTGTCCTCATCATCATTGTGACTGTTGCTGGCTGAGGGTGCCTTGGCGCTGAGCAGTGTGGGTGGGGTCCTTGAGCTTACTTGTGTGGGGAGCCTGTCCCCAGGCTGGCTGTGCTCAGGCTTCTCCGTGGCCTGTCCTCTCCCCTGGCCCTGTGCTCACCCTTGGGCCACTGTGATGGGCACATAGGGGAGGCTACTCGCCAGGGCTCCACAGCAGTGCCAGAGTCAAGATGGGGACCTAGGCAGTCAGCTCTTGAGATGGGGCAGTCTGCAGGGCTGGGCATGTATGTAGGGGTGAAGGACAGGAAGGGTGAGCGGGGACTGAGGGAAGAGGAGGGCGAGGGCCACTCAGGATGGAAGGGTCCAAGGGGAGCAGAAGCCTGGTCCACGTGGCTATGCTGGGCATGGAAGGCCCACAGGGCTGTGGGCAGAGCTTCCTGGAGTCAGCATCTGTCCCCGTGGGACTGGGCCCTGTGTTGGGTTCCTCAGAGTTGGGTTCCTGGTGCTTTCGAGGAGGCGTGGCCGAGCAGGAAGCAAAGGCAGTGGCGGGGCTTGGAGCCAGAGCTCAGGCTGCAAGCGTAGCCCCAGCACGCTCACTGCCTTCTTGTCTAGGCCCCATACTCAGGCTGAACAGCTGCACCCTTGCCTTGATGGCTTCCACAGCCCCTGCTCTGCTCTCAGGAGTGCTCACACTGGTCCTGCCTCCACGTGGAGGGTGACACTAGGGTTTGTAGTCACTGGCTGGCTGCCTGGACGTGGAGTTGGGCTCTCCGACTGGCTGAGGGACCATCCTCTGCCTTGGGCCAGACCCAAGTCCATAGCAGTTGCACCCAGGGTCCCCTGAGGATTGTTAATAAGACAGCTGGAGGGGACAGGATGTGGCTAGACTGAAAACAGAGGCAGCGTAGTAGAGTGATTGGAAACACAGACTCTGGAGTTGCATAGATCTAGTTTTTTGAGGGTAGGAGTGGGAGGTGGCGTAGTCCTGGGGATTGAACCCAGGGCCTTTGCACTGAGTTTACATCCCCAAACCTTTGTTTGCTTGCTTTTTATTCTGAGACAGGATCTTGCTAAGTTGCCCAGGCTGAGCTCAAATTTACAATCTCCTGCCCCAGCCTCCCGGAGTGCTGGAATTATAGGCGTGCATCACTGTGCTCTGCTGATGGACCTAGATTTTAGCTTTTCTTCTGCTTATTAGTTGTGTATCCTTGGGAAGTCACTTAACCTCTCCCAGCTTAGCTCTGTAAATTAAAGGTAATATCATTGCCCACGTGGGGATAGTGTTCTCCGCACAGTGCACTGCTTACCAGGTGTGGGGCGTACTCAGCACTCTGGGGAATGGAGTGATAGTAGGGGCTTATGTGTGTGGCTGTCTAGGTTGCTTGGCCTTGACTTCTGGGTTCCCTCCACTTCTCTGCAGACCCCGACTCCGGAGTCCGTCCTGACCACAGTCCGGGATGAGCCAGAGGTACCAGTGAGTGGGGGCCCCAGCGGGGACTTTGAGCTGCCGGAGGAAGAGACCACACAGCCAGACACAGCCAATGAGGTGGTGGCTGTGGGAGGTGCTGCGGCCAAGCCCTCCCCTCCACCTGGAACGCTACCCAAAGGCGCCCACCCGGGCCCCGGCCTCCTGGACAATTCAATCGACTCCGGCAGCTCAGCCGCTCAGCTGCCCCAGAAGAGCATCCTGGAGCGGAAGGAGGTGCTTGTAGGTGAGGATGCGCTCTCAGTGAGGGCCTGGAGTGTGGCGGCCAGTCAGGCCTGTTTCCCTTGGGACTGGGAAGGGTGGTCAGGGTGTGGCTTCCTGGGAGCCAGATCAAAAGGGGAAGCTGGGGACTCCACGCTGTCCTTTGGCCCCTCCACTAACCTTCCCCCTAGCTGTCCCTCACTGCCTTCTCATCTCTGGAACCTTCCTCAGGGCCTTCCGACCCTTCCTTGGACTCTCACTGACCCCTGCTTTCCTGGGTCATGCTGGTTGACCCCGTGGGACATTGCTTCCTGGGTACTAATTCTGACCCATCCCTTAGCTTGTTCCTCCACCCTTGACCCCAGGCCCTTTGGACTTGCCCTGGCCACATCTACTGGAGAGCCTTTGGACAGGTGGTCCAAATCCTGGTTCCCCCGTAGGGACAGTGCCACCTCTGCAGCTTCCTCTCCCATCTGCACTGGTCGGTTCTGTTGTGCACAGCTGTGTTCAAATGTGCCCTCTGTCACAGGGAAGTGCTGCTGTTTAGATGGCAGGGGTTTTCCTTTCCTAGCAGTTATCAAATAGTGGAGCATTTTATAGCAGCTGGCATCTTACATCTGATGCAGACCCCACCTCTCCCTACAGGGCAGGAGTGAGGAGTGGTTTGGGGATGAAGCCTGTGCTTTGCCCTGCTTCTCTTGTGCTCTGCTGGCAGGTTTAGGACTCCCGGCCCCAGGTCCCGTCCTCCAGTTCTTTAATCTGCTTCCATCTGGCCTCAGCACCCTGATCTCTGTTCTCTTCCTCCGTAGCTGTGATTGTGGGCGGGGTTGTGGGCGCCCTCTTTGCCGCCTTCCTGGTCACACTGCTCGTCTACCGCATGAAGAAGAAGGACGAAGGCAGCTACACACTGGAGGAGCCCAAGCAGGCGAGTGTCACATACCAGAAGCCTGACAAGCAGGAGGAGTTCTACGCCTAGCGGAGCCTCAGTGCCTCCCTGCAGCCTCAGCCACCCTCACCCAGTCCCAGCCCAGCCTTACTGGCCCAGGACTGGGACTGGGCCTGGCCCAGTTCTCTGCCCTCCCTCCCCTGGCCTGCCCAGGCTGCTAGCCTCATGCATTGTCCTGAGGAAGGGGTGCTGCCATCTACCCCGGACTGTGTCCTTATGAGTTCATCTCTTGTCTCTCACCAGCCTGGGGCTTTGGGACCTTACGTCAGCTAGACAGGAGGAAGGAAGCTCCTGATTGGCTGGTGGGAGAAGGGGAAGGGACGGGGCCTGAGATGGTCTGAGCCTCTACAAAAATCCCAAAGGGCTGGCTCAGTCTCCTTCCTGGGTCAGAGAGGCCCTCTGGCTGGCTTCTGGGACCAACACACGCAAACTCAGCCCTTGAAATCATCTAGACACTGCAGCCTCACTCCTGTCACAGGGCCTCTCTTTGCCTGGGTGAGGGGTGTCCTTTGTCACCATCCTGCTTTTTCCTGGCCTCCCAGAGGTTGTGGGACTATACTCCCCTCTCCTCTGCCCAGTGCATACGTGCCCCAGGCTTCCCTTCCTCTTTCCCCAAGGACATGGCTTCCTGAGAGTGCAGGGCCAGCCACCAGTGAGGACGGCCACCTGATGTCCCTCCTGTGAGGGGACTCTGCACTGACACCACCGCCCACTCTGTTATACATATTGTCACTTGGTCACATACCACACAAAGTGGAGCAAGGACGAAAGCATACCCAGTGCTGACCGCCCAGTCCATCCAGACAGGTCAGAGACACGCCTTCCAAAGGTGCGTCTCTTCATACATCGCTTAGCCAACTCTCCAGACACCGAGTCACTAGTCACAGCCGCCTGAGTGGTGATGGTGTGGTCTGCCTCTCTGTCCCCCTGCACACACTGGCACCACACACATCATACTGAGCTCTTTCAGGCTCATTGGAGAAGGCAGAGATATGTTGGAACAGTCAGCCCATATTGGGTCTCAGTTACCCTGTTAGACTTGGTCCCACATCAAGGTGCCCACACCAGCCACGTTGCCACCCATCCCAGCCTCTCTCAGACGTGGTCCCACACAGATGCACAGTCTTAGTCCACATAGCCCTGCACGCACTGGGGGAAGACAGGTGGGCACTTGCCTTTCCTGAAATAAAGTGTGACGTGGGGACATTGCCACCAGCTCTCCTAGGGCTTTTCATACCTAAGGCCTGGCCTCGCCCCTGACTGCTTCCCTTCTTAATGTGCCCTCAAAGGGAGAGGTTCAGGGCCAGCCTTCGCCCACTGAGAGCCCTGGGACTTCTCCAAGGCTGGAGGACAGGATTGGGCTCTGAAATTTGGCCCTGGGCTGTGGAGGGTGCTTGGGTCTCCCTGGACCAAAGGCCCTGGGTGAGGAGGGGGCGCGTGGTCTGTCTCCTGTCTCCTGCATCCTTTTCCTGCTCTGAGTTAGGGGGCTGATTCTGCCTCCCAGGACACAAGTTTCCAAAGTGCCTGTGAGGGCTGGCCCTCCGGCCTGGGCCCTCTGCATCCTCAGCCCCGCCCACCCATTTGACCAAACAAGTCAGCAGTTCTGGCTGCTGCCCTACGGCCCACAGCTGGAAGTGGCCCATCCAGATGCCCCAGCCCCAAGGGCAGATATTGAGGGACTAGAACAGGTGACAGCAGGGGGGAGGTTGTATCCCAGGCCCCAAGCCTGCTTTCTCCTTTGTTGCCCTTGAAAGTGGGGCCATTTTATGAGTATTTTAAGTGTGGAGTCACCGCTCTCCTTTGAGGGCGAGTACTGTGGTGGGAGCTCTGGGAGCCAAGGGGATGTGGTGTGAATTATGACTGGTTGGCCCTCCCACCCCACATCGCACCCGCAGCCCAGATCCAAGTCAGGAGCCCACCCTAGTTTTATTTCTATTTCCCTTTTCAAGGTTCCCTGGCAGTGGACTTCTGCAGGGGAGGGGCCTGAGGAAGGGAGGGGCCCAAGGAAGCGAGGGCCAGGCTCCAGGGGTCCTTCCAGATCCTGAAGCCCGCTTCGGCAGGGCCCAGTGTTGCGTGAGGAAGTTAGTCGGCTAGAGCCTTTGAGGAGGGCGGGGAGGGGGCTTGGCCTCCACAGGCCCTGTAGCATACCCAGCCTCCCTCTACCTGGTCCCTGATGAGCTGCTGTCTCAGGGATGGCAGCTCTGGTGAGAAGGCCTGGGCAGGCCAAGGCTGAGAAACCAGGGAAAGTGAAGGAACCAGTGCCTGAGCACACAGGCCCCAGGGACACTGGCATCGGGGCAGGTGACCACCAGTGGGCACAGCTTCTGTGTTTGGCTGGAGGCCGACATGGGGTGGCCTTGGCTGGCCTGATTTCTCATAGTTCAAGCACGGGCTTTGGACTTGGGCTGTGGACTTGGCCTCCTGGCCCCGGCCCCTCTTCTGTGTCCTTTGCCTTTGAGAGAGAGGCCGAGGGCCTTGTGCATGAAGCCCTGGACCCACGGCCAAATCCCAGGCTTTATCTTTGTGAAGTTTAATGGTCTGCCCAGGCCGGGTCCTTCAGGCCAGTCTGTGGGCAGGATGGGGGCAGGGCAATCGAAGAGCCCAGCCAAGGACGAGCTGGAGCTCTCTACAGTGCAATGGGGGTGCGGGGCTCTCACCCCAGTCCAGGTACGGTGTGAAGTGTGCAGGGCTGGCCAGATGGGCCTGCAGACAGCCCAGTGCTCCTGAGAGGGGGTGCTGCAAGCCCTGGCATTTCCTGGGAACACAGCACATTCCAAAAGAGACAGAGCTCATGTGGCTCGAGAACTCTCCCGGGCTTTGCTCAGTGGAGGCCAAGGCCGGCTGAGCCGAGCTGGGGGTGGGACCGGTCCCTGGCTGTGATTTCTAGAGCCCAGATTCGGTCTCTCCAGGTGCCCAGACCCAGTGGGACTTTATCTGAAAGGCTGGTCCACTTGATCCCTGGAAGAATGGGGTGGCAAATGGGGCTGGACAGGCCTGTGGCATGGGCCGAGGGAGCTCGGGCCGACCCTTGGGCTTGGCACCGCCACCCATCAAGCCAGGCTGGGAGCAGAGCTGACTGCCTCTCAGGCAGCAGTGGTGTTCTTGGCTCTCCTGGCTTTCCTCTGCCAACTGCCACCCTGGACTTGCCTCCCTGAGTCTCTGGCCTGTAAATAGAAGCCCACACCTGTACAGATTTAGAGAGGCCGAGACTGGGCCTGGGAGTCACCACCATCTGAGGGCTGACGGTCCCGCATCCCCCAGGTGCCCACCTGGCCCCAGTGTGACGAATGCATGTAAATATTTCTCGTAGGCAGCGTGGCTCCAGAGAGCCCCCTAAAGACAGTGTCCCCCTCTGGTGCGTCCTTTCCTCTGTACAGAGCCGTCCCAGCCCTGGCTGGTGGTGGGTGGGAGTTTGTCCTTCACTCCCCCTGGCCTTCCCCTCTCCCCCCACATAACCTCTTTATTAACCATACCTGTCCTGAGTTCATGGCCAAAACTCTCAGCGAGGAGAAATGGAGGAGAAACGGTGGACAAGGTGACCAGGGCACTGCCCCCTGTGGGTGTGTGCCTGGCCCAGCCTGGGGAAGGAACTGGTTTGTTTTTGATTTTTGTTTTTAACATTTCCCGTGCTGTGCCCCTTTATAAGAGGAATAAAATTAAGCTGAAGTGATGCACTGTTGCCAGAGTGTGAGATTAATACAGGCGACGCTTGGGAAGGGGTGGCTCTGGCCTCACCTTGGCCTGAGCCCCCTTCCCCTTAAAGGAAATTGAGAACCCAGCAGGGAAAATTGACCGGCAACCCCTGTGGGAACCATTGTGGTAAAAGCTGCCCTGGGTTCATAGTGTTTGGGAAACCTGGAGGTGAGTGTGGTTGGGTGGGGTGGGGTGGGAATGGGGGCTGTGGTTCACCCCAGGGGAAGAATTCTGGTTTCAGGCCACAAAGAAAGAATCCTGGTACCACGGAATAATGGACTCAGAGCTCCCAGTAGAGTGTCTTTGGGCCTGATGGCTTTTTCACACTCAGGTGGTGGCATGTACTAGCTCTGACCCTGGGCAAGCCTCTTGGCCTCTCTGAGCCTCGGTTTCCTCATCCATAAAATGGAATGACAAATGGAATATAGTGGGGATTATACACAGAAGAGCAGTCAGCACAGGACCTGACAGCCAGTGTGACTCAGAATCTTTGATGATGGAACTGGGACGGAACAGAACCAGGGCTAGAACTTCGGTTGCCTGTATCATAGACTGACTCCTGGGCTTGCAGGGGCAGAGGCCTGAGGGGGTCCTGAGCCAGCCTGGCCCCTCATGGGAGTAGAAATCCCTTCTTTAGAGCCTTGGTGGGCCCTTCCCCGCGCCCCCTGCCCAGCTCTCTTGCCAGGAGCATCCCAAGGGCCACACTCTCTAGGCCTGTTCTGAAGTGCAAACCCCTCTCACCTGAAACCCATCTTGTATCTGTGGCCTTTCGCTGGTACTCATGGTGCTCTTGGGCACATGGAGCTAGCTGTTTTGCTTTCTGCCAGGGGACAACACCTAGGCTTGGGTGTTATAGTCATGAACATCCCTCCTCCAAAGGAAACCTCTCCAGGCCCTGGAGAGGTTTCTTTTGGAAATTTCTTCCTCTTAAAATGTGATACACAGGGTCCTGGGGTGCAGCCCTCGGTGGGTTGGAACCTAAGGCCTGTGGATTTGGTCAGGGTTCTCCCCTCCCCTCTCTGCCTCTTCCCCCCTCCTCCTTCCAATAAAGGTACTTAGGGGTCCACTTATACCCAGCCTCTGCTTGGGACTGGGAGGCAAGAAGTCACTGGTACAGATCCATCGCTGCCCTCCATCCCCTCTGGATACATACAGGCCGTTGGGCAGCTACACAGTAACCAGCCTCATGACTGAGGGCACTGGTGTGGGGCGAGGGGGTCTTTCTTCCTCAGCTGCCACCTCCAAACTGTGCAGCCTCTTTACTACTTGGCAGTTCAGGGACAGAGCCCCAAGGCCCAGGGCCTCACTGTGGGACCTCAGACGGCTTGTCACTTGGAGTCTCAGTCTGCACAGCTGTAAAATGGGGAAAAGGGGCCAGACCTGCAGAGGGCTGGGCTGCAGTTAAAGTCTGCTGTGATGCAAGGGGCTGATTTCCCAGGATGCAAAGCTAAGCACATGTGGCTCTTCATCCAAGAAGCTTCTGGAAGGTGATGCTCCATTTCCTCTGAGCTCTCTTGGCCTGTAGTCTCCTACTGTGGGGCCTGCACCATCTTCTCTACCGAGTTCCTCTTGAATGAGTAGGAAGCATAGTCTTGGAGTCAAGCTGTGTGGCTCCGTGTGCCTGGGCACATTGCTCTACCTCTCTGGGTCTCCATGTCCCACATGTGAAGGGGCTACTGTTTGGAGGCTAAGTTGAAGGCTCATGGAGGTACTGTGTTGGAATGATCTGCCGTGAAACTTGGCCTCCATGGCCATCACAGCAGAGCTGAAATTCCTCTCTTCAGTACCAACCTTTCCAGGCAAACCTTTCTTCAAATCCTAGCTCTGTCACACACTAGCTGCAGTCTCAGGTGAGTTCCATCCACTCTCAGTGCTCCTGGTGAGAAGGTCCATGCTTGTTTCACGTGCATGGGGTTGGACCCGTGCTGGGCGTAGGATAGGTATTCTATGACTGTGGCCATTATTAGTGGTGTTGCCGCCGTCACTTCTGGTGCTGTCATTTGCAGGCCCCAGCACGCTGGCTACTAAGTGGATCAATGAACCCTGAACTGGGTCAAAATCAACTATCACTATTGACTCTAGTTTGACTTATGACTTAGGCTTGGGCTTGTTAGAGCTGAGACCAGCTGCCATACATTTGGGCTGCACAGATGGTCTGGGCGCCGCTAGGAGCTGGAGCATTTCCTTCTGGGCCTCTCGGGTTCAAGGGAAGGAGGAAGAACGGCCGATTGTTTCTGGCAGTCCAAGAGGTCACAGCCGCTGGCCTAAGCTGCCCTGAGAACAGAGTGTGCTCAGCATCCTGGGTGCCCACTGCCTCTGCTGGCCTTGGGGCGGGCCAGGGCCGAGCCAAGACCTGGGCTGGCGGTGCTGGAGCTGTAAGCCTCAGCCCCACTTGGGGAGAAAGGAAGGCTGTGCTTTGTGTGCAGTGGGAGTAGGGCAGGCAGCAAAGAGTTCCCCGGGCTCAGGTCTGCTCCCAATGGCAGCTCTGGCCTCCTCGCCTGTTTGCAAATGAAGAAATTGAGGCTCAAAGAGCAGAGAGACCCAAGTCTCAAAGCTGCTAGGGGGTGTGGTGGGATTTGAGTCAGGTCCCATGATTCCCTCTGGTCCCGGTGCTGTCTCGTCCCTCCCTGCTCTGAGTGTGGGCAGGTTACGAAGCATCTCCGAGCCTCAATTATAGCATCAGAACAACAGAAGTGGTAGGGTATAATGGAAAGGCTCAAAAAACTATATTAACACACGGCATCTGTGGCCTGACTGTTCCACTTGTCAGCACTCATTCATACTATCTCATTTAATTCTTGGAGAGAATTTTTTTTTAACCACCATTTTACAGAGAAGGCATTGACCTTATCAGCAAAATCTGTGCCGCGGGACACTATCAGACAATAACCCAGTTTCTTCAATAAATACATTATAAGGATGAAGGAAGGAGAGAGAGAGAGAGGGAGAGAGAGGGAGGATATGAATATATATATATATATATATATACACACACATATATTTTCAAGTTGTTTTGAGACGGGTCTTGCTGTGTTTCTCAAGCTGTCCCAAACTCCTGGGATCCAGCCATTGGCCTCCCCAACCTCAGACTCCCAGGCAGATGAGACTAGAGATGCCATGGCCACCGGCTAGAAAATTTATAAATACAATTAAAAGATGTTCTCAGGCTGAGGCAGGAGGATCGCTGTGAGTTCAAGGCCAGTCTGAACTGCATAGCCAGACCCTTTCTCTAAAACAAAAGAACAACAAACAACCAAAAAACAAGTTCTTAATGCAGGAACCTAATATAGATCATGATTCACACTCATTGCTTTTATTTATTTATTTATTTTTTTTTTTGAGGTACTCAGGGATCAAACTCTGGTCCATACGCTTAGTGAGGCAGGCAGCAGAACCACTGAGCTAATCCCCGGCCCTCCATCTAATTATTTTTATTTTATTTTATTTAATATTCTTCTTATCATGTTTTTTTTCCTCATTGAGTTTATTGGTCCGTTTCAGGGATACAGTACAGTGACATTCATCATTGGGATCTTGTACCTGTACATGACAGGGCTTGGTCCCCGTTGTTTTCCCCTTGTCCCTGCCCTCCCTTCACCCCTCCTCCCTTCCCTATTTACAAATATTTTATTTCCATTTTTTTATTTTCTCATGTTTTTTTTCTTTCCCCTATTACCGTTCCCCTACCCTTCCCACTTCCCCTACATCTTTAGCCCTTTTCTTCCTATTTCACATTGTTCACACTAAATACTTTTACCATGCCAGCTGTAAGGCAAGTGGAAATTTGAACATGGAGTGAATACTAGTTACTAAGAAATCTTTTTCACTGCTTTTAGATGTGATCAGGGCCCTGGTTCGGAGGAACACTAGGGATTGACCTAGGGCTTTGTGCGTGCTTTACCACTGAGCTACAGCCCTTTGTAAAATAAAATTTTGTCTCATTAACTTGCCTAGGCTGGCTTCCAATTTAGGATTCTCCTGCCTCAGCTTTCTGAGTAGCTGAGTTTATAGTCATGCAACGTAACTTCCGGCCCCTTCTGCGTTCTTGTCTCTTCCCTTCTCTTGGCCCTTTCTCCTCCTCTTCCTCTTCTTCCCTCTCCTCCTCCTCTCCTCATCTTTTAGGGATGCAGACCACAATCTTAGTGGGTGGAGTGACAGACGGTCTGGGATTGGCTTCCAAGCCCTGGGGGGAGTGGCGGGGGAGGGACAGGAAGTAAGATGGGCTCGAGTTGGTAATTGCAGAAGCTGAGGAATGGGCACACGGGTTCCTTGTATTAGTCTCCTGCTCTGAAGTTTGTATTTTAAATTGTCCTAGTAAGCTGTTTTAGGATGGAAGAAATTGATTATCACGGGCCCTGGGGATCTGGCTGAGGTCTCACTTCCAAGAAATGCAGAGTCCAGGTCCCGGGCGTGAGCCCCAAGTCGTGCTGCCTCCAGATTCTTCCACTTCTGGACGGTCAGCACCTTCAGGGGCCCTGTTCCCACCCCTTCTGTGGAGACTGCTTCTCATGGATGGCTCTGGTGGAGTAACCCAAGTGGAACCCCAGTGAGCGATGTGGCTTTTGCCTTTTTCTCCTCTTGGGAGACTTGTGGCAGTGGCCTCCCTCCCCAGGTGAGCTTTCTAGGGAGCCCTTGACCTCTCTGTCACATCGGTCCGGGGAGGTGGGCTGCTTGGGGTTACCCCTCCCACCTTGAGGGGCCCTGGCTCTGCTCCCTTCCCCCCTCTCCCCCGTCGAGGCGCTGGTCCTGTCCAGACCCACATCATGTCTCGCTGGAAATCATACAAGGACCCCTCCCCAGCTACAGCTTGTAAGACGTGGGTCCTCTTGGGTCATCGTTGGAGGAGCCACCGTGACACCCAGCCTTGGCTTCCTCTTTGTAAAGTAGGTGTAGATTTGGCTGCAGACGCTGTTTGTGGGGATGGGGACCCAACAGCAGCCAGGTCGAGGAGCCCAGCACAGTGAGTGATACACAGCA